TGCTCTAGTTAATGCTCAGGACAAGCTATCAAACAAGCTGGATGCTAGTTTCGCTCAGGCCATGGATGACCTTAACAAGACATTGGCCAAAGGGAACTCCGCGTTGCTCCAATGCTTTGCAATGCTTTCGGGGTCCATGGCGGGTTGTCCTGTTTCTATTGGCGGTATCGGTGATGGCGAACGGAACGATTGCCAGCACAAATGATCACCGATTTTTTATTTTTGCGTGAGGATGCTAATGTTTTTTTTTTTTTTTTTTCACGAACCTTATTAGACTTCTGCTTGTCAGTTTTTCGTATTCCACACATGCAAATCGAGAAGTGGGCGATGTGGAACTGATATGCGTCCATCTGCGTCTTGCCTCCATTGTCTCATTCTTGCAGGTCCGTCTTCATGTCTTCCTCCCCGCTCCGCGGTGTAAGCAAAGTAGTTAACATGGACGGCAATTTCGTTCTCACCCATGGAAGGATGATCGAACAGGCCCATAAGCCCGCGGTGTAAGCGAAGTGGTTAACATGGCCGACGATTTTGCTCTCACCCATAGAAGGATGATCGAACAGGGGGAGCTTGACAAAGTGCACATGAGAGAGCGTGTTGCCATGGTGGAGGAAATAAAATGTTTGCAGGGGGAGCTTGACAAAGTGCACATGAGAGAGCGTGTTGCCATATCGAGAGCAGAGGTTGCAGAGCGTTTTGTCGCTCTCTTGCGGGAGGAGGTTCAATGATTGGAACATTTGTTGTCTCTATACGAAGGTGGCTCCCATTATTCTCCCGGGGAGCATGGCGGCTTCTTGACTACTGCGCAAAGTCCCGCGTGCAGCCAATGCGGTTTCGTCGCCAGTGTGACTGTTTCAATGAGCCCTGCGGGGTGGGACACGTTTCGTCGCACACCCCCTCCTCGTCCTGTCGCCACTGGCACCTGCGCCAGATCCCCTGTAGTGGTTGTTGCCATGTCGACAGACCGCACCGATGTCACAACTGTTGCTGAGCATTTGAGATGGGTGATGTCTATGAATGCAGATTAGGCAAGAATATGGAGATAGTACCCCCTTATGAACTGTTGTCACAGTTCAGTCCCTGTAGTCCTGGACTATTTTTAGTTTCACTCTCTTATGTCGACGTTGTGGCGAGTCTATATGAATGTCGTTAGCACGTGAATGATCATTTTTTGGGCATAAATGATGGTGCTATCCAGAGGAATTGGTGTCAGTGGCGAGTGTGTCATAATGGTGATCAATTGTTTTGAATTTGCATTTTGTTCTCGCTTTCGTGTAATGACGGCGTGACAACAATGTGCTTGATTTCGACAACAAGTGTTTATTTTTAAATTTTGCATGAGGATGTTTGCTTTTTTGTTGTCCCCTTCGTTTGCTTGTGTCTCTTCTGCCTAGTTTGTTTCTTTTCAGTGGATAATGATTTTGCCTTATATGGGAATGTGATAGAAAGGGGGAAGCAAAGAATGAGTGAGATGAATGCGATTGGGCTTATCACTTTCTTTCCTGCTCATGTTTGCTTTGCGGGATTTGCAATTGCTGTCATAAATGGAGAAAACGTCATTCTTTGCATGTTTTTATCATGTGTACATTAAAGTTTGTAAATTCATGCCATGTTGGACTCGTTCCCTGCAACAAGACAGTTGTCACCGTGATCATAAGATGACGTGCACGACAACAGTGATGGATGTAACATATCAGGTGAGGCATGGCTCCCAGGTCGTTTATTGTTCCCATGGGACACACAAACACACGCTCACACATACGTGCATCTACACTGTATAAAAAATAAGAGATAAAGAGAGCTCCTGTCGTTTACTTTTTTTTTAAGTGTCAATTGTTTGGAAAAAAAACACCAGCCACATACACATAGAAGAAGAACCCATCAAAATGATTGGGGGATTGTTGTTCCCTCACAAGCATTGGGACGCGTTCTCTCTCTCTCTCTCTCTCTCTCTCTCTCTCTCTCTTTCTCTCTCTCTCTCTCTCTCTCTCTGTTACATGTTGCACCTACACACGAGGGCCATTTTCCAGGCCCTCCGTCCTTCAGGCTAAAAGCCTGAACTTCAGGTCGAAAGCCTGAGATTTAGGGCCTACAGGCCCCGTGTCTGTTCAGCTCATAAAGCTGGAAATAGGGGCCTACAGGCCCTGTGTCGTTTCAGACTAAAAACGACATAAGCCTTTTTAGACTGAAACTGAGGGCCATTTTCGGGCCCTCATCAGACCGACCTGCCCCGAAACTCAGGCACCAAACCAGGTTCTTAGGAACAGGCTATTTTTGGCTTGTTCCCACGACAACCTCAGCATTGAGCTGCAGCGCCAGACCCTGACCTAGTTTGGCATTGGCAAGAGCAGCCTCCTGGACTGCCCGCCCTGCAACTGCAGGCAGGCGGAGGCAGTCAGGAGGCAGGCCGAGGTAATACATAGGAACCTCCCATGCACTTCACGGGTAGGCAGGAGGCAGTCAATAGTCCTTAGGATTTGGCAGCAACACTCTGGAGGAGCGTTGCAGAAGTCGTTGTAGCGCTAGCAGTAGTCTTCAGCGTTGGGCGCTAGTACCGTTAGTTGTAGTCTTCAGCGTTGGGCGCCATAGCTAGAGTAGTACTAGAGAGAGAGAGATTGCGCGGAGGCCAGGGATACTTACGTGCTACGCCATTGCTCCATCTTCGCCTTCGAGGTACCTGCAGCACAACGCCATCTTCACAGGTTAGTACCTGGCATACAAGAGAGAGAGAGAGTTCTTCTTCTTTCTCTTCTCAGTCCACCATCTCCTTCTCACCCTCTCGCTATCTGACTTCACTGCATCAGCAGACTAAGAGAGAGAGAGAGAGAGAGAGAGAGAGAGAGAGAGAGAGAGAGAGAGAGAGAGAGAGAGAGAGAGAGCTTGGTGACATTGGATCCAAATTCGACATGGGACTTCAGACATTTAAGGGATTATTTGGGACTTGTAACTAGACTTGGTGTTGACGACTTTCCCATCTCCCCCTTCCTCTTCTTCGTATAATCCCTTCCTCTTCGTCTGTGTATGTCTGGACCTGGCGCCTCTTTCCTATGTATAGCGTCAGGCCCCTTCACACTTTGTGATGAGCATGATGTATGTTTGGTCTGTGTTGAAACATTGATTGGGTTAGTCATTAGTATTTTAGCATTCTGCTTCGCTATCTTATACTACGTGAAAGAGGTTAGTCCCGGTCAGGTCAGAACTTGTATCTAAAGTCTTCCCTGCGCTATAAAGCACAATTTTGTATGTATCGGACTGCACATTGCTTGTTGAGATTCCGCTTGCACTGCATTGTCTATTCAGTCCTTTTTATCACATTGCGGATCCTCCGTTTATATGTACATCGCCCAACTGCGCATATAACAGTTGGTATCGGAACACCGCACGTGAATCAGAACAACCTGATATGACACGTGTGCGGGGACTAGGTAGCTGATTAGGCTTGATTGATTGATTAGGGCACACTAGTTAGCCCTCAAAATCACAATTTTGACCTTACTGCCGAAAATCGAAACTTTTTTCTTTTCTTCGAGTTGTTTTCTCGCTATTTCTGTTGTGGAAAAACGCAATAGCGCAACATCTGAAATTTTTATTTTCTTTTTTCTTCTGTAAAATTCAAAATTTCGTTGTTGAAAATCCGGAATATCTTTCTTTTTAAACATTTTGATTTCCTGTTGCATTTTTCGTTCTTTAGAAATCCGGAATATTTTTCTTCGAAAATCATTTTTTTGAAATTCTTAAAAACGGTACGGGAAATCTCTCCTGCAACTATCATTTTCTAATCTGCGCATCTGAGTAATTCCAAAAATTTTGTTGTATTTTATTTTCGGGACTTTCTTAGTCACAGTTCTATAATCATTTGCAGTCTGAAAGTTCGAGATTTTTTTTTTCTCTCATTGGTAATTTCGAACGTTAAGGGAGATTGAGAGACCTACTGAACTTGCAAAACTCGAGATTTCTACTGTCTTGATTTTTTTTTCCTTGCAAAGTCCAAAAGTTTCTTTTTTGATTAGTGGCTCCTTATCTGGGCGATTTTTCCCACCCATCCTCCCTACATATGTTGTTGCCCCCTCTCGCCTTACCTTCTCTACCTGTCTCCAGGTACCCCCTGCGATGATATTGGTGAGTTGCCACGTCAGCAGACCACGTTAGCAGGCCATGTTTGCAGACCACGCCAGCAGAACATGTCAGCAGGCCACGTCAGCCAACAACATTGCCACGTCAGCAGCAGGGAGCACCACGTCAGCAGGCCCCCGACCTGGTTTATGTTGTTGCGTTCACAAACAGCCGTCATGGGCCAGAGGTCAGGGGAAACGGACGAGGCCTATTAGGCCCAGATGCTGGTCTGGAGTACCGAATCCAAGAAACGGGCGGATGACGTAGCAACCGCAACGAAGAAGAAGGCAGAGGACGCCTAGAAGGCACGTCTGTTGGCAATCGAACAATAGTGCCAGCAAGACGAGGCAGCAGCAAGGGCTGCTGATGAAGAACGAAGTCAACGACGCGAGAAGATATTCGGGAGAGAGCGAGCCTTGCTCACAATGGCAACGGAATTGCGGGCATAGGCCGAGAATGGAAAGATGAAGGAGAGTGAAAACAAGATCGCTCTACTCCTCTCCCATCTCACGGACCTCCTGACCACGTGCATTGCACAGCAGGAGGACATCCATAACCTCGACGGTATGGTTCGGCAGCACAAACGTGCGGTAGATAGCCGCCTCCAGCAGCTGGAACAAACCATCACCGCCCTCGTTGCCAGCTCCTCCAACACCGCCGATCGCCTTGAGGCCTTGGAGATTGGCTTGGGATCCCTCAAGGACGGCGTGCAGTTACAGCACACTGCGACGCAACAGTTGGAGCAGCGCATCTGTGCTGCAGCCGCCAACCCAAGTTCGGGACAACGGGAGTTAACTCCAAAGTTCAATGGTCGAGAGATTTTCTGCAATTCGACGAAGACGGACCCGATTCCGTGGTTCTGCAAGTTTGAACTCAAGTTGCAGCTCCATCTCGTCAGCGAATACAAGCACCACGCGTACTTATACTCCCGGTCGGGAGGCGCATGTCAAGCATAGATGGACAATCTCTTGTCCAAGTACGGGGTGGTCGCTGCAGAGTTGCACACCAAGATCAGCTGGGATGATCTAAAGGCAGCATGGCATAAGCGGTTCCAAGTAGAGCCGCCGGAGATCAAGGCAATGGACAAGCTAATGGTCTCCGAACAAGGCACGCTGTCGAGTACCGACTGGATTGCCGAGTACCAACGCTTGACATCCGTCCCAGACATTCAAATGGGTTTCAAAGCCATCCGCCACTACTTTATCTCAAGGTCGTGTCCGACATTAAGCAATGCCTTGACTCACGTCGAGGACACACTGACGACAACGGCGGAACTATTTGACAAGACCGCGCAGATTAGTGTCACGAACAAGGAGGCTAAGAACCTGCGTTCGTTTGCGGCAAGCCCGAGCAGAGATCAACACCGACCGAAAGTGGCCGTGGTCGCGGCAGCAACGCCGTTTGACCAAACTAGCGAGGCCACGTCTGCCAATGAAGGGGACAGACTCGCAGCCGCCCGGGAAGGTGGCCGCCCCGACAAAGGCCGAGGACGCGGCAAGGCGAAGATAAACACCACATCTAGCCCCGGGCCAGGCGCAGCAGCTCCAGCCCCATGGTCCCAATACGGTCTCTCCGAGCAAGCATTCAAAGCATGCACGAAATTTCACTATTGCCTATGGTGCAACAGCGATCTCCATGAGACAGTGGCCTACCCGTCAAAAAAAGGCAAGGGCAAATCGGGAAACTGAGCACCGCCGGGAGTGACTCGACGACATTCTCGATACCTTCGAAACCGGTCACTTCGCGGGTGACCGCCCTTCGTTCCGAGGCACATGCGAAAATCAATAGTCCTCCTCTTCTTTATTCTTTTGAAAACTATGCTACCCGGCTCGTTCCTACGCTGGGTACTCAAGCTCAAGGACAAGACGTGTGTGCGGCATCTTCTCCGTCCGGCAGCGACGACTTATCGTCTTCAAGTGGTTCTTCACGGGATTCGGCGCGCGAGTTCAACATAGAGGTATTGGACCCGCTAACGTCCGGGGATTTCGCATGGCTTCCTCTCCCAACAACGGGCCGCTTGCCGGGACCGCAATGCGCAACACTACGTGCTCATCTCCACACGTACTTATCCTTCTATGCACCACCAACTTCGCCAACGGATAACGAAGTCATGGTGGAGGACATCCTCGCGTATGTTACCAAGGTGGCCCGCGAGTTTCGCACGCAGTGGTACGATGACAACAACGCACTGCTCATGTATGTCCGCATCCAGGTTGGGCAAGCGTCCTGCAACGCTTTGTTGGATAGTGACGTGTCTCGCAATTTCATGAGCCAAGCCTTTATGCAAAGGGCTGGCCTTGGCGCACAAGTTCGGATGAAGGCAAACCCGATGGCCATCAAGTTGGCGGATGGAAAGACGCAACAACTTCTCGACCATTACATCGAGGCCATACCGGTGTATTTCGCACCTCATGCATGCGAACCTGTGACGTTCGACATTTTGAGCACGGACTTCGACATTATTTTGGGAATGCATTGGCTTGCAAGTGCGGATCACACGGTCAACTTCCACCGGCGGACTCTTATCGTTCGGGACGCCTCCGGCGTCGAAGTGTCGTGTACTATTCCTCTTCCACACCCTTCGATTCGGTGCCAAGTGGTGACAGTCAAATCATTCCGGGCGACTTGCGCTTACGAGCAGCCCGAGGAAATTGGCCTATGTTTCCTACGGACCGTTGCGGTAGCCGACTCTTCACCCACGAACTTGTCTTCGGACCTCCGGGTGGTGCGGTTGCTGGACGAGTTCGCCTACATCTTCGAGTCACCTACCTGTGTGGTGCCGGATCGGCCGATCTCTCACGAGATCATTCTTGAGGCCGATGTCGTGCCGCCGAAAGGTTGCATCGATCGGATGAGCGAGGAGGAGCTGAAGGTCCTCCGCGCACAACTCGACGACTTGTTGGTCAAGGGCTGAATCCGCCCTAGTAGCTCCCCATATGGAGCACCAGTCCTCTTCGTCCGAAAGAAGAACAAGGATCTACGATTGTGTATCGACTACCGCAAGCTCAACGCGCAAACCGTCAAGAATGCAGGGCCTCTTCCTTGCATCGACGATCTTCTTGAGCGATTGGGCGGCGCCAAGTATTTTTCTAAGTTGGATTTGAAGTCGGGATATCATAAAATCTCGATCCGGCCGAACGATCGCTACAAATCCGTGTTCAAGACACGGTACGGGCATTTTGAGTGGGTGGTCATGCCTTTTGGCCTCACCAACGCTCCGGCGACCTTTCAAGCGACAATGACCAACGAGTTTCGTGCAATGTTGGACCGGTTTGTGATGGTCTACTTAGACGATATTCTCGTCTATAGCCGAACATTGGAGGATCATCTTGAACATCTTCGACGAGTGTTGGAGACGCTCCGCCGTGCCAAGTACAAGGCCAACCACGACAAGTGCGAATTTGTCTGGCAAGAGCTGGAATACTTGGGCCATTTTGTCACACTGGAGGACATCAGTCCGCTATCGGACAAGATTCAAGCCATCCAAGAGTGGCTGGAGCCACGGAACGTCACGGATGTCCGCTCGTTCCTTGGCCTTGCCGGCTACTACCAGCGTTTCATCAAGGGCTACTTGAAGATCGCGGCCCACTTGACCAAGCTTCAATGCGAGGATCAACCGTTTGACTTCGGAGAGGAGGCGCGGGAATCATTTTTGGCTCTCAAAGCCACGCTATTATCTGCGGAGGTGTTGCGCATATACGACCCGCTTTTGCCCACGCGCGTCACTACGGATGTGTTCGGCTATGGCAGTGGTGCCGTCCTCGAGCAACACGATGGCGTGGACTGACACCCGGTCGAGTATTTCAGTAAGAAAGTGCCTGTCGTAACCTCCATGGATGATGCACGCTAGAAGGAACTCCTCGCCTTCGTCCACGCGCTCAAGCGGTGGCGGCACTTCCTCCTTGGTCGAAGCCAATTCCGATGGGTAACGGACAACAATCCGTTGGTCTTTTACAAGACCCAAGACACCGTCAACAGCACCATCGCTCGATGGATGACTTTCATCGACTAGTTCGACTTCTTTCCCGATCACATTCCAGGGAAGTCGAACCGTTTTGCGGATGCTTTTTCACGGTGTCCGGATCATTGTACCGCGGTCTAGTCAACCTTCGAGATCGACCATGACCTGCGGGACAACTTCATCCGCTGCCACCAAGCCGACCCCGAGTTTTGCGACAAGTACGTGAATTGCTCCTCTCCTTATCTAGCGCCTTCTCACTACCGGATCCAAGAGGGGTACTTGCTTGCCCACACACGGGGGAAGGACCTCCTTTGAGTACCAAGTGACCCTCACTTGCGTACATGGCTTCTTGGCGAGTTCCACTATGCTCCCACCACCGGACACTTTGGAGTCAATCTCACGATTGGCCGACTTCGCGAGCGATTTTGGTGGCCCAGCCTTCTCGGCGACGTCGCACGCTATTGTGAGGCATGCGAGGTTTGTCGACGCTGCAAATCCCACAACCATCGGCCATAGGGCGAGTTGCGACCATTACCGGTCCCCTTGCGACGAAGGGAAACGATTGCCATGGACATTACCGGCCCGTTCCCCAACCACAAGACCGGTGTGGATGGGATTCTCACGGTGGTCGACCGACTCACCAAGTCGCCATGTTTTTGCCTTGTCGCGATCATGCCAAGGCACCGGAGTTCGCCGAGGTTCTTTATGCCGGTTGGATTCGAACCAAGGGTTACCCAAAGGAAATCGTCTGCGACCGCGACACTCGGTTCATGTCCGATTTTTGGTTGGCACTCATCAAACGTTGAGGCTCATTTCTCAAGCCAAGTTCGGCTCGCCACCCCCAAGCCGATGGCCAACGGAGAGGGCGCATCAGACGGCATAGGTTCTTCTTCACACTCTCATCCATCCCGACCAAAAGGTTTGGGTCAAGCGGCTGCCAGATGTCGAGTTGGCCTACAACTCGTCCATCCACTCGACTATCGAGAGTCGCCCTTCGAGTTCGAGCACGGCTCGTAAGGGACTTCGCCGTTGGACACCATCATTCCACGAACGACCGAGAGCGATGACCATCTTCTTTTCTTGCGACGGATGCAAGACCTACTTGTCAAGGCACGCGACCAGATGGCCAAGACGCAGCAACACATGAGCCAACAGGCCAATTGCCAGCGTCTTCCTTGCCCATTCCACGCCGATGATCTCGTTTGGGTCTCTGCCGCGGAATTCAGCCTTGAACAAGATATCTCTCGCAAGCTCCTCCCGAAATGGATGGGGCCTTGGTCAATCGTGGCACCCGCTGGGGATGCACCCGAGGGACCTTCCTTCACCATTCAGGTGCCCGCCCACTTGCCCATCTATCCGGTCTTTCATTGCTCCAAGTTGGCTCTTTACACACCAGCGGAACATGACAATTTTCTCGGGCGACGATCGCAAGACCCACCCTCTATGGACGATTTTCAAGAGGTCGGCGACATCATCTCCCAGCGACGCTACGACAACAGGCCAACTGAGTACTTGGTATATTTTGCATACTGCACATACCGAGATGACCGTTGGTTGACCCGTGCGGAACTTCAAGCAACAACTCCAGACGTTCTCGCACACTACGAACGCAAGATGCAAGGCAAGCCGGTCTCTTTGGCTCCACGCCGCGCCCGCGTCCAGGTTCCACCTTCAGATCGTTAGCTTCGCCCTTGCCCCGACTTGACTTCATAAGGAGGGGGGGTGTTACATGTTGCGCCTGCACACGAGGGCCATTTTCCAGGCTCTGCATCCTTCAGCCTAAAAGCCTGAATTTCAGGCCAAAAGCCTGAAATTAAGGGCCTACAGGCCCCGTGTCTATTCAACTTATAAAGCTGGAAACAGGGGCCTACAGGCCCTGTGTTGTTTTAGACTAAAAACGATATGAGCCTTTTTAGCCTGAAACTGAGGGTCATTTTCGGGCCCTCATCAGACCGACCTGCCCCGAAACTCAAGCACCAAACCAGGGTTTTAGGAACAGGCTATTTTTGGCCTGTTCCCACGACAGCCTCAACATTGAGCTGCAGCGCCAGACCCCGGCCTAGTTTGGCATTGGCAAAAGCCGCCTCCTGGACTACCCGCCCTGCAATTGGCAGGCGGAGGCAGTTAGGAGGCAGGCCGAGGTAGTACATAGGGACCTCCCATGCACTTCACGGGTAGGAAGGAGGCAGTCAGTAGTCTTCAGGATTCGGCAACAACACTCTGGAGGAGCGTTGCATGAGTAATTGTAGTGTTAGCATTAGTCTTCAGCGCTGGGCGCTAGTAGCGTTAGTTGTAGCCTTCAGCGCTGGGTGCCATAGCTAGAGTAGTACTAGAGAGAGAGAGATTAGGCGGAGGTCAGGGATACTTACCTGCTATGCCGTTCCTCCAGCTTCGTCTTCGAGGTACCTGCAGCACAACGCCATCTTCACAGGTTAGTACCTGGCATACAAGAGAGAGAGAGAGAGAGAGAGAGAGAGAGAGAGAGAGAGAGAGAGAGAGAGAGAGAG